TTTATAGACTTCATTATTGTAGCAGGTATTGTTCCAATTTCCTTCTATGTGGAATAGCATTTGACACTACGAAAAAACTACATCTCTCATGAAAATCCTTACCAATATTCATCCCATCTCCGCTGAGTTTGAATTCATTCTCCTAGCCTAATTCCTGCTCGACCTCGTTGTTGCTTAAAGATTTTATTGAACTATGATCTTTCTCGTAGAGTCTTGATTGGCTGTTGGGCTCTTCGTTGGGGTTTACAATTCTTACAATTCTTCGTCTTCGTTAGAGGCTTTAATTGACATGTTTTTTCATATGAAAGATCAAATATGCTACATAAAATATAGATATAGGTATAGTTTGTAGAAGTTATCTATTTCTAGAAATTTCTCTCCTTACACCCGAAACTTTGCTGAAGAATATTATAGGACTACGGATTTCGTCGTTAATCACAGAGAAGGAAGTAGCTAGGGATTTCTTACAACAGCAATTGTTCTTTGGAATCGTAATTTCAGTTCTCTTCGGTCGTTGTTGTAAGTTCCCTATCCGATGCATTCAGTAATTTTACTTCTTTTGTAATTAATTTCAATCGAGGTGCATTTTTGTAACCTCCAAGTAGGGATTATAGATCTATGAGAATTTTGTTTCCTGTTCATGAAGGGGTCTTTAATTTTCATTGTGATCGAGTCTGTTGTGTGTTTTCAGTGATGACAGTGATTGAGAATTGATGATATTAGGTTCAATGGAAGAATCCGAGAAACGGAGGGAGCGACTGAGAGCAATGCGAATGGAAGCTTCTCAGGCTGATGTCGCTAATTATGTTGAAACTTCTCTGCCTAATCATCTTTCCAATCCATTGGTTGAGTCCTCAGCTAACATGCTAGGGCAATCAGAACCATGTACCGCCCCAAGATTTGATTATTACACAAACCCTATGGCTGCATTTTCTTCTAGCAAGAAGAGAGGGAATCAGACTGTGTCTCATGCTTATGTTCCTTCCCACCTCAATAGTTCTCCAGATGCTTATGTTCCATCAAATTTTCCAGGTAATTTTATGATTTCTTAAATAATTTGTGGATGGAAAAAAAAATAAAGGATCATGTAATGGGAATAGGATATCAAGCTACTTGTTTGATGGTGGATGCTTCATTATAGAAGGGTCCAATTGCGAATACATGGGTAAAAAATGGCCTAATGTGCCGGGTTATTATGTTCCCCTCCATAAAAAAATGTTACAAAGAAGCTTTCAAATCAATACAGACATGTAATCTATAAACAAAATCTAGTAGAAGGTGCTCCCAACTTGAGGTTGTAAAATGAACTTGGTCACAAAGTACTGTCGATTCTTTCTAGTTTTAACCTTTTGAGAGCTTTTGAATATAGAGATGGCTGTAGGGAGATGTTATTAGGAATATGAAATGCTTCTGGTTATGAACAAAGAGCCTGCATCAGGGAGCAGTGCAGAAACAAACCAGAGTCTCAAGAATAGCTTGTGTATCCTCTCTACTACTGTGATTAAAACCAAATTCTTTCAAAATCCATGAAACAAACGGGACATTTATAACTTTACTTGCCTGGCTCCTTGCACAAAAAGGAAAAAAAATCCACAAGCTATTTGTTTCAATGGAACTTTCCATAACCTTTTTAAGAGGAAAAGAGAGATTTTCTGCGTGTTGGAGAAAATTCCAACTAGGAAAAGGTGGCTTGCCATCATTCATGTCAGGCTTTCCCATATAAAACTTTTTGTCGCTTTATTAATCCGAGCCACTATGGGAGGGATTCTAAGAGAAACATAATGAGAATCGATTATAAAAGCTAGTCATATACTTTTGAGAAAATTAATGATAAAAGTTAGTCTTTCTTCCTTTTATGGTTCTTATTTGGTTTGATGAGCATGACTGTTAAATGTCTAGAGTATTAAGGATATACAATTAGATGTGTTTCTATTAGTGGTTCGGTATTAAATGTGTGTTTGTTTTGCAAGCTTTTGATGGGGGAGGTAAATGTATATATTTAACATAAATGCTACGTAGCACTCTTTTGTACAAGATATACTTCTGTAGTTTGATTTTAGTTTCCAATTCAAACTTTCTAATTCCTCCCCATGGTTGGATGCGATGCAATCATGAAAGCAGTATTTTTTAAATGATAAAAGACATGAGTTTTGTAATATTTCACATCTATCTTATTAGTATTTGCTAATATTTTACATTAAAGTTTATGTGATGTTACTGGTAGAATTGGGAAGTATCTCATATGGCGATCAGCTATAAATTTTTTTAATGCTTGTTGTGGTTTATATTTTATTTCTCATCATGAGTACGTTCTTTCAGCATTTTGTAGTTAGGGAATCACTTTTCTCCTCCAAATCTAGATATAATATTGTGTTGTAGGAATGAGAAACCCTGAAATGTCTCCCTCTGCGCCTCATCAATTCCATCAACATTCACCTGACCAGAGATTCTATGCACGAGGTTATAGTGGATCTGGTGGCCATGGTAGCCCAGCAATGCCCAGGCCTTTTCCTATGGATCAAAGAAGTCCTAATATGTGGGGTGGACCTAGAAGCCCATATGTCAACCACTTTCCCGGTCCTCCCCCAAGGGTGATGAACTCCCCCAGAGGCCCTTTTGTCAACCAATTCCCTAGCCAGCTACCAAGGGATATGAGCTCACCCAGCTTTGTCTCTGGACCAAGAGGTAATTCTTACCCCAGTCAAACGCAAGACATGGTTAATCACCTCAGTCCAAGTCCTAGTCCTGGGTATCAAGGCAGTTCTAGTCCTGGGTATCAAGGCAGTTCTAGTCCTGGTGGAGGCAGCCATGGTCATCGTGGCAATATGACCCCTAGTCCAAGATTTGGCTTGGGACGAGGTTTTGGTTCTCATGGTCGTCGTTTTTCATCAGACAAATCATCTAGACCAGAACAGTTTTACGATCCATCCATGCTTGAAGATCCCTGGAAGGTTCTGCAACCTGGTATTTGGAGGCCAGTTGCTCCATTGAGAAGTTCTGCCAACCCTTCAGAATCTTGGATTTCGAAATTCAATACGAAAAAAGCAAGAGTTTTAGATGCTTCTTCTGGCAGGTCAGGCTCTCAACCCAGCCTCGCCGAGTATCTGGCTGCTTCCTTCAACGAAGCAGCCAACAACACACTAGGTGAGTAAAACTGTAATTCTGAAACTAGGGATTCTCAAAATCCCAGCCCAATTTTTCTCCATACGCTGGTTTAATATGGTAATATTTAAGGTAAATCTGTAGTGACAGTTATATCTCTCCATGTTAGTTTGTGAGTTCTATGAGCTATTTTCTGTTAGCTATATGTTTTGTCGACTGTGTTTGACTGATGGACATGATTTAGCTATGCTCGTCTTTATCAAGAATTTAGTAGGATTGTGTTCCAAATAATATTGCTCTGTTTCATCATCTTCTTAATGTGGAACGCATCCTGCTGAATTTGATATTTTGAGTAAATGGTTGAAGTTGGGAACTAACCACAAGAGGAGGAAAATATGCAGGGTTGGCCTCTGCTTTTCCACAAGTTATTTTTAAAAATTCTAATGTTCTATTACGTTACGGAGTCTGAAATGCCTTGAGTAAGAACAGATGTATAGAACATTTTTAATGAGATAGTGCCTTTTCGACTCTTTCAAAATAGAATCTATTCTAAACCGTATTGTGTCCAAAGATATGATTCATTGGAATGAATCAACCATTAATATATCAATCCACGGTAGATTGTCGAATGTTCGAGAATTCCTCTATTCAATAATAGTGAGCTTAGGGGTTGAATCCGGGTCTATTGTTTGGAAGGCAATTGTCCTAATGGTTGGACTACAAACACTATACTTGATTTCTACGAGCTACATTATTTTCAAAAAGTTCGACACTCAACAAATTTTTTATAAGATAATGTTGGGAAGGCAGCAACTATTCTAACCTTTGGAATTAATTTAAAAACCGTCGGAATAATTTTTAAATTAATGAATAATACTAAAATTTATTACAAAATAAATTAAAAAAACTAAAATTTAAGGTACAAGAAAAATTAAAATTTAAGTTACATGATCCCTAAAAGAAGGTTTTTTATAAAAAAAAAAAAAAAGAAACACATGCGTTTGCCGGGAGTCGAACCCGGGTCTATTGCTTGGAAGGCAATTATCCTAACCGTTGGACTACAAACGCTATTTGTCTAAAACATTAAATTTTTAAAAATATAATCTTTATATTATATAATATGACATCTTGATTTTTTTTTTTTTATTATTTTTTTTATATTTATTTATTACTAATGCATCACAAAAGAAGTATTCTACTGTCCTATCTTTCTTCATCGTGCAGTGCTAGCTCCACACCCTATACTTAAATGGATGACGTCTTCATCAGACTACTCGAAACTTAGAAGATAGTATTTTGAGAAAATAGAGAAGTAACTCGTGATGTTTTGAATAATAATCTTTCAACGTTTTCGTATACAAAGATAAACAAAGATGTATCAGTACTTAACTGTATAGGTGAATCCATCTTAAACTATTCTAAACTAAGTTATTAAGCTAGGGGAAAAACAAATAAGTGTCTAGGCTACTCAAGTCTGTCTGAACAGAGTCACGTAAACACATTCAAGAAGAATACAACTAAAATATAATTTGATCGTGCCTAAGCTACTCCAAGTGCATTATACCTTTCTCCATGAGGTGGCTTATCAGCTTACCGTTCACAACCTACCTTCAATAATACTAAAAAAATTATCAACGTAATAAATTAAAATCCTCGATTACAATGCCAAAAACTTGTTATAAAATTTGGTTCGGGTTATATAGTGCAATAAAAAAACAAAGTTACTTTTCGAGATAGTTGACACTCAGTTTATTAATTAAACTTAATTTATAGATTTTATTGAAATTAGTGATTATTTAAGTTAAAATTAGTGAGTGAATCAAATTATTAATCTAGGTGGGGAAATTGAAAATTTCCAAATAATAATAATAATAAAAATCATAAAAAGACAGAAATCTAAAAAAAAAAAGAGCTATTTATGCAAAAATATTTGGTGATAAAATCCTCAGTTTTCTGGGAATGGGGAAAGAAACTTCAGCATTTTGAGAAGTAACTCGAGCAGGAGCACTACAGAAAGCGCATGGTTCGCCTCCTCGAACACAGCCTTCAGTGATGGCGGACTTATGCTGAAGTCTGATCTAAGATTCTGGCTGCCGATCGTCAGCTAAATGCAATCATAAAGCTTCATCGTCATTCAACGCCTGGTAATGCTGTTTTTTTTTTTTCACCTGTTTTGTTCTTCATTTCCTGAAAAGAATGTTATTTTGACAAACGTCTCGCAAGTTTCTATCATGAACTGCATCATCTGCGATGCGATGAGAAGGACCTGGATTGGTAAATTTATAGCTGAATATTAGGGTTTTAAGTTTGTATGTATGTTTGCTGAGAAATCGACATTGTACGATTGTTTTGATGCGAGGGCATCTTGGATTGACTTTGTTAATTAGCTTTTTTTTGTGAAGCGTACTTTGGAATCTGATTGCTTACTTTTGAAGCAGTTTGTACCTTTACTGTGTAAGAAAATGCCCTACAGTTAGTTATTTGTATATTCATGATCTATTTGCTAGGTTGATCAGATATTGGCATTATTACAATATTTGTGTTCCAGAAAAATTGGATCTCCAAATGACATTCATATTGTTTTTAATGCTATCTGCATAGCAAAATAAAGTAAAAATCGGTAGTTTTTTCTTTTTTTTTTTTTTTTTTTTTTTTTTTTTTTTTTTTTTTTTTT